TTTCACTCATTCATATACCAACTCAATTCAATCGGGTTTTCAGTTAAACCCCAAACAAAAAAAATGTCCAAAAAAATGACAAAATCCCATCTATAAAACATCATAACGCATCATCACTGTCTCCGGCTCCGCGCTTGCGCGGAGCTATGAACCTAGTAGATTGTAATGATGCAATGTCTCTTGCCCAAGTTGGATTCGTCTACATCTTGTAGTTATTGATTTTGATTTTAAAGAAAAGTATTGTAATGTCTCATAGCAATGATTGGTTGGACTACAACTTAAAAAATTTAGGTGGTGTTATTTAATAATGTATTTTAAAAGAGTTTAAATCAAAACACAATCCACTATTATTCAATTGATGATTTTAAATTCTATTTTAAAATTTAGTGTTATTCATTCTATGATTGAATTTCAGGTTTTCAAATCTGGTGCTATACAACTTTTAAGGATTTTAAAATTCTTTATAATATAAATGGGTTTCAAATCATCAGTAATGGATTCTAATGAATAAATGATTAAACTCAAAATCCAAGGGGTATTGCAAGGATTTTAGAATCTATCAACTTTAACAATCTTAAAATTTAAAATCTGATAGATTGTAAATTATTTAAAATTGATTTTAAATCACTAATTCAATAATACCCCCTTAGCTGTGTAAAATTTGTGATTTAGGTGATTGAGTTATAGTTGTAACTTTTGTTTATTTGATAAAAGGATATTGGTTTGTCATCTCAACTTTGAAAATACAAGGACTAACTCTAATATTTTAAAAATGTAAAGAATCATTATGCCAATAACACCATAATTTAATAGAATTGTAAAATCATAAAATACTCAACTTTTTGAATAACATAAGATTTTAATTGATTTAAAAAATCACTACATCTATAACAAAAGATTTATATGGAATCATAAAATCACCACACCAATAACACAAAATTTGTTAGAAATTTAAGAATCATATTACCAATAACATCAGAATCTTAAAATTCTTCTAATCTTTATAAATCAATCTCCCACTAACCCCCTCCTTATAGTATCCAACTATAGTAATTATGAAAAATTATATATAATACTTCTTCACTCATATGAATTCACTAATAGTCTATTTATAAACTGCATAAAATACATGTTTAAAAAGTAGTTGATAAAACTAATTTAATACCTTTATTTTCTATTATAAACAGTGATAAGATAATTTTATTTTCTTATATAAGTCAGAATATACATAGATAAAACATATAATTGATACAAAACATTATAATAACTATTAGTGATCATAAGATGATTTTATAGATTATCTACAAGAGTTTAAAATTTTCATAGTATATAATTTATTATAAATTTAATGGTAACTAATTTTTTAAATTATAGAAAGTGTAATAATGTCTGATTAGTTGTTTCTATATTTATATACTACATAAAAATGAGTATAAACAATTTATAGCAATATATATAATGATTTCATATTCATATAAAAATATAGTTGTATCTATAATAATTATTGATCTAGAAGGTGCAAAATCTAAGATAAATTTTTGGTTCATTGATTGCATGTTGTTATTACTATTTAGAGATAAATAAATATTTGGCAAAAATATGTAAAAAAATAGGAAAACATTAGCGAAGATAGCAAAGATTTAATAAAAATAAGAAATGATAACGAGAAAAATAAGAAGATGCATAATATGTATTGCAAAAGTGAATGTTATAATTACATATATAATTTCACAAACATTTGTTATTACTAAATATTCATCATTTATTTTTATATCAAATTTTTGGAAATGTTACAACTAATTGTTAAACTATTTGAAGTGAAAAATTATATTTTAAAGGTTTCTAATTATTATTCAAAATTTATGATATTGTATACATAATATATATTTTCATACAATATTTATATCGTGATTGTTCTTAGGTTAGGAAGAACAACTCGATCGTCATGAACCAGTTGGCTGAATGCAACACTCCTTTGGCAAACTTGGCGAAGTTCTTCAGCACCTCGACCATCACCCATTGTATAATTGGGCGTAGAAACGTAGGGGCATCTTTGACTGACGCTCTAGCGGCTGCCTCTTAACTCCCCCAAACAAAGATGATGAGCAAAGAGTAGGAGATTAGGACACCCACAAGAATGGCGAAGTCTAAGAGGACTGGCATCTTATGTGAGAGGTAAATGCAAAATTGAATGCAAAATTTTTTAAATTAAAATATTAGTTTCTCAATTTTTTTCAATGCAAATATCAAAATATAATCATATATTTTTATATGGCATTTAGTTTAATTTAAATGATATATATATAAATATATTAAATAAGACTTTTTCCTCATGTATTTTATAAGTGTTTATATCTTATTATAACGAAATTTTAAACCATTGATCACAAAAAAAAATCTTTGAGACTTTTAAGAGGTTAGTAATTTATACCCGTTTTTAAAAATTCAAAATACAACATATACGAAAAATTCTAAACTTTTATTATATGGTTAATATAATTGTGTAATATATCTTAATAATAAAGGTTTAAACAAAAATGGTAAAGGATATACAAATTGTTAGCAAATCTTTATTATTGAAAATCATTAATTGCCATATATATTTTAATCACATTAAATAATTCCGTAGTTTTTATTTAAGAAAAGAATAAATAATAACTTTTAAGATTAATTAGAATTTTATGATTAGTTTAATGAAAACTATAGTTTATATTTAGATGGACCAACATATTTTTCTAAGGATTCCCAAAATCATTTTCATGATGACACGTGTTATGCTTCTAATTTTGTAATGTTTTTCTTTTAATATATAGGGGATCATGCTTAGTAAAATCAGTACAAATTTAATGTTTATTTTAACTTTAACATAGTAAGATTTGATGATTTTAAAATAAATAGAGGTAAAGGAAGTGAGATAAGATACAATTTTTTCAAGACAACTTGTGTGTAATCCGGTTAGTTCAGGTCTGAGTTATGCATTTTAAGCTAATTCACTCTTTCTGGTTTTTAACCGGTTTAATCCTAACCAAAATCACCAATCCAATATCTTCTTGAAAATCACAGACAGACCCTAGGCCCACAAGAAGAAAATAATTAAATAAGAGGAATAACACTTTTAAAATAATAATTTGGGCCGGCCAAAGTTGAGTCGGCTCAATTGACTGATTCCGAAATCACTCACACAACTTCACGCCATTCCTATTGTCAAACTACAGAGACGTGTCTTTCTTCAATTGATTAATACGCCCTCCAAGGCTCCCACACATGGACTCTGCCTTCTTTTATGGGTCATCAATATATAGAAGAAAACCTACCTTTATTTATGATATATATATTAATTACCATTTATGCCCCACACTAGCCTCCAAAAGTCATTATTCTGTTTTTCTATTCCCATTTTTGTTTTTCTCAAAAAATGCTAAGATTAAAGAATAAAAACAACACCAAACATCACGAGGTAGTGTAGTAGTAATCTAAAGTTTTTCTTAATAAAGATACTAATGGCGTGGTCAAAGTAATTGGACAAGTGGGTGTGGCAATAGAGTAAATAAATTGAAATATGAAGGGTGAGTTAGGCTATAATAAGATGAGATAGATATTAGGTGGAGAACCTAGTGGGACCCACAAACGCGCAAGAGTGGTAGCTGGTTTCGGTAAGGTGAGGTCGTCTCGTCGAGGGTTCCTCTCTCAACCCTAGAAAGAACCCACTTCATTTTCCACGCGCCTCATTCACATTATAATTTCTAAAGTTGAATAACATAAAACTATAAATCAAAAGTATTTGGTCGACCACTTCTTTCAAATGATGTTGTCTTTTTACCTATTCCAAACACAAATAATTATAATTGGTTCTTAATTTAACTAGATATATAAATACTTGATTCACCTAGGAAATATCTGAATTTTAATATTAGATTATAGTCCACATATATTATATGTCCGTTTCATTCAAATGGATGGAGCAATCTGTGAACTATAAGATAGGGATTTTAAATGATAAGACTAAATCAATTTGTATGTAAAATAAAATAAAAAAATACCTCGGTACATATGTTTGAATAAATTGAATTAAAACTTAAAATCGGTAGAAATGTTTTTTTTCTTAAAATGATCTAAACGTTAATAAATACAATACGTTAATATTTATGGAAGTTTTTTTTGATAAAATATATTTATGGAAGTTGTAACACTAGTTTTATTCGTTAGCCTCTTGCTTATCCAATACAAGATTTGTACTGTATTTGATTATAAACGGCATCAAATATCCACATCTAGTCCTTTATTTAGTTAATTGCTACTTTACATAATTTGTCGTTCTTAATAAAATATACAAATTTTCGGCAACACTAAAACATACGTACTATTTATAATGTTTTATTTTTTTGAACAAACAATTTATAATGTTAATTAGCGTTTACTTTGGATGCATGGTGTTATGAGAATAATGTAAAGTTTTACTCAACGGGTGAGATATGTTCTTATTCAATACGTGATAACCAACAAGCGACAAATGCGCAGTTTGATACGGTCAGGCAAAGCTACTTTATAAAATTGGTATAATTGAAAGGTGGGATGAATCACAAACAATTACGCTAGCACAATAACCTTTATAGTAAAATATAAACCCGTAATAACTTAATAAGTCTAGTTTTAGATAAACCATAAAACTGGTACCAGACACATAATCTTTGTACCAGACAACAATTTATAAGCCATAGAGTGACATACAGCTATTGAATCGATTAGGAAATATACCTTGCCGACGTTGCCGAAATTAATCAGTTTCCTTCGTAAAAAAGAAATGAATAAAATAACTTAATTATAAAGTAAAAACATTTTTTAAGAAAAATACAAAATGGAAAAGAAAAGACAAAAGGACAAACAACTTAGCGCGTAACAACCACGGAAGTTAAGCGAGAGTAAGTTAAAAAACTAACACCAAGCTGTTTCGGACACGCTGGGCAATCGTGTATAAAAACATACTTCATCCTCTTCATCATCCCACCACATGTATTCATCTTCTTATTCTAAATTATTATTATCTTTCTTCTTCTTCTTCCTTCTAATTTCCTCAAGAGAAACAGCCCTTTTTTTAGTAACCATGGGCGTCGCTGTTCTAAATCCCCAAGACTGTCTGAAACATCCTTTGTCTCACATGAAACATCCACGTAACCCAACCGCATGTCCCAACAGGCAGAAAAAAACGATCTCAAACCGCACACGCCGTAGTCCGCCACGAAAACAATCCTCACCTTCTCCTCCTCGCCCCGACAACAACAACAAAAACGTCGTCGTTTCTCAGGTTAGGATCCTGAAGCACGGCGAGGAGGTCCCCAAGAAGACATCAGATCTTGTCGTGGAAAAGACAGATCTGTTATCTACTCATCGGATCGGACCAGATCCAGAAATGATTCCGAGTAAGATCCGTTTACCCGTCCGCAAACCCAAAACGGTGCCGTTTTACGCAGGTCCCGTGACCATGACGTCACCTCCTCCAAGCGACGTGCCTCTTCCAGCGTTTTTCGCTGCGAAGAAGAGCGTCTCTTTGTTCCAAGCCACTGATGCTACCAACGAAATCATCAGAATGCTCCGTCTAGACATCGCGTGAAGGCGTATGTCTCAAGCCTACGTTCCACTTTAATCAAAACGGTTACAGTTTCGGATCGAATCTTCAATAAATCGTTTACATACGATATGAATCAAGAAGGTGAAGAAAACGCATCTTCGTTATGAAACAGTTTCGAATCTTCCCTTATTTTTTCAAGGGGCAAGATCGGAATATCTTTCTTAACAGGTCTTTTTAGTTTCTCTTCGAGTTTTAGTGTTTGTATAGAGTCTTTGTTCATAGGCTTTATTTTTTTAAATTGTGTCTTTGGGTATCTCTTGTGGTAGTTGTCGGTTTACTAGGTTCTTCTTCTGTTGTTTCTCACCGTTTCTGTAGTTCTAAGACAAAAAGTATCAGAGATATGTATATCTTACTGCAATAACGCAGATTACAGTTTCTGTATTACTTTCTATCTTTCGATGTAAAATTAGTATTTCTATCTTTATATTAATTGAAATTAAGTTTTATTTTACTTTTAATCCATTGTTGTTCAAAGTATTTATATTCATTGCCTGATATCAAACTAAGCATTGCCAAGACCTTGTTTATAGTAAACATTCTTATGGATATGCTATACCACTACTCAACATATATAAAAATGGTTTATGCTTACCTCAATTGTTTAACTTGTTACATAAATTATTCACGTTTGAGAGTATGTTTCTCTTATCACACGCAAAGAAAAAGTGTTTTTTTTTTTTTTTTTTTTTTAACAACTGTTTTATTTAT